GGATATTTAACATTTAATGACCTAATAGTTTCTCCTTAGAGCAGGTCTTGTTAAGAAGAATAAAGTTAAAGTGCTCTGGCATATTTCAAAATAGCTTCTTTTCCCCTCACCCTGTCGGAAGCATGACAGGATTTTTCTTTATTTACTGTGAGAACCTGTTTAAGCTCCTGGAGATAAAACTCACAAAAGTGTGGGACCCCCTTTTGACTGGAACCCCCTGGAGTTTTTCACTCTCAGACTTGTCTGCCTGAGCTTTTAGCAATTCATCAATTGCAGTTCAGGTTTTCCTACTCTAGCGCTGGTTCCCTGGTGGTTTCCTCTTGTATTAATAAGTCTCTACTTTGGTAAACAGTAACTTCCTGTATTCACCTGCCTGTCTCTCCATTTTTGAGGGCAACGGTGTCTTGAATCTTAGGGATTCAAGAGCAGTTTTTTGTTTTCTAGTCTGTTCAGCGTTTTACTTGTTAGGATGAAGTGGCAACTTCAAAAGTTCTTATATGCAGAACCAGAAACTGGAAATTTCCTTTGTATTTTTTTTTGTTGTTGTTGTTGTTGTAAAACTACAACGCCGAGGAAAGTTAATAGCCGAGAAATATGGAGAATTTTAATGTCAGAGGCAGTAGAAACTGAATAGGGTGGGTGAAGGCTGAGAAGATACCATTGAATTTGATGATGATTGTCAAGGGAGTAGCTTCAGATGAATATGGCAGTGGAATTTGCATGAGTGATTGTGAGGTCCATGAGGGCAGGAATTTTTGACTGTCATTCACTTCTGTATCTCTAGTACCTAGAATGTTGCTGGGTACCTTATAGGTACTCAATAAATATTTATTGAATGAATGAGGCCGGGCGCGGTGGCTCACTCCTGTAATCCTAGCACTCTGGGAGGCCGAGGCGGGTGGATCACTCAAGGTCAGGAGTTCGAGACCAGCCTGAGCAAGAGTGAGACCCCGTCTCTACTGAAAAATAGAAAGAAATGATCTGGACAACTAAAAATATATATATAGAAAAAATCACCCAGGCATGGTGGCGCATGCCTGTGGTCCCAGCTACTCGGGAGGCTGAGGCAGAAGGATTGCTTGAGCCCAGGAGTTTGAGGTTGCTGTGAGCTAGGCTGACGCCACGGCACTCACTCTAGCCCGGGCAACAAAGCGAGACTCTGTCTCAAAAAAAAAAAAATATTTATTGAATGAATGAATGCATGATTTGTGGAAAAATGGAATGATTGAATGTAGACTCAAGAAAAGTAGTCTTTGGGAAAGTTTAGTGGTAAAAAAGAAAGGGAGAGAAAATAGCATATTGATAGCAGGAGTCAGGAAGATTTGTTTGCTTGTTCGTTTTATTTTTAGAGAAAGGAAAACCTAAACCAGTTTGCAGGTTGAACAGTAAAGCCCAATAGAGAAGAGAGGATCAGAGAAATTGGAGAGGAGACAATATAAGGAGCAAACTCAGGAGTGGAGAAGGTATGGAATTGGCAGGTAGAACACAGGTGAAACTCCTAAAAGGAGGAAGTCTGCTGCTTCTTGTGAGATAAGAAAAAAAGAATAAATAAATCAAGTTTCTACACGGAATACAATGTAAAATACTATTGTGTAGTTCATTCCTGTCAAGTTAATATCGATTCAATTGGGAAGGGTTAAATTGCTTTTGCTGACATGTTTATCATTTCTGTCTACATCTAGATAACACTAGAAGTAGAAGCACTATCTTAGTACTTTGGCATCCTTCTCCATCCTTCCCTCCTCATCTTTGTTCCCACTATTCTCATAGAATACAAAAGTATTCAATGTTTATAGATACTTGAGTGGTTAACTCTGTTTCTGGAAAAGATTGCAGAGTCTATTTTAGATGCTTGGTGGTTTCTAAACATGTTCTTATACTTGGTTTTCACAGGAGGATTGAGAAAGTATCTGTAGAAGGTATTTTTAAATAATTAGCACAAGCTGTGAAAATACTACTTGCTCATGTGTAAAGTTTCACTTTTGCCATTGGGAAATTTCAGTAGAGATGTAGAAATCAGATATCTTAATGTATTTATGATATTAAAAGGGAAAATAATTTCTCTATCTTTTATACCAGCAGTCCCCAACCTTTTTGGCACCAGAGACTGGTTTCATGGAAGACAATTTTTGGACATAGGGGAGGAGGCTGGGGGAGATGGAGCTCAGGTGGTAATGCTGCACGAATTGGGGAGCAGCTGTAAATACAGACAAAGCTCACCTCCTGCTGTGTGGCCCAGTTCTTAAGTTTTGTGGAAGACAATTTTTGAACCATGGATGGGGGACGTTTGTGTGGGGGTACAGAGCTCAGGTGGTGATGTGTGGCCTGTTGATGCCTGACCGGTACCGGGCTGCGGCCCAGGGGTTGGGGAGTGTAGTTTTAGACTGTACTGAATAATCAAAACAAATTTTTTTGACTTTCAGTTTTATAAGGTCAGCCTAACTGATGGAAAATAAACTTATTTTCACTCTGTTTCATATATCACCACTGACAACCTGCTGATCTTCAACTCAGAGTCTTGCTGTAGAGTGATTTTTGCCAGCAGTCAACTGCTAATGATGCATGAATTGGATACGAAACAGATTTTCTTCCTTTTCTGTCATGACCTCCACCCAAAATTAGATTGACTTTAAATTGATTATAGAAAAATAACCGAGCTTGAGAAACTGTTGTTCTTTCTTTGGTAAAATGTTCTTGAATATTAACTTAGAAATAAGTTATGTTAAATTTCTACCTCAGTGGTACCATTACAGTAATTGGTTATGGTTCTGAAACCTTTCAGGATGTGAGACTTTTTGATTAAAGAACTTCTGGGAGTCCTTATGGGAGAAGTAAGCTTTAGTATAAATTTAATATACAAGACTAGTAGAATATCGATAGCATGTTACTCAATTTCAATAAAAATAAGCATATTTATCATTTCTTATTTTATACTTTTAAGGATTTTGATATTCCCCATTGTTTCATCTATATTAGCATTTTTCAAGTGTGACCCATCATCCACATGTTTAGTGCCTTTCGGATTTTGTGACCGAGAATTGTTGATTCCCACTTCCTACCTCCTTCTCTGGTAGGAGATACAGAATAACTGTATGCTTGAAATGGAAAAAAAAAAAGTCTTATTTGTTTTTTAAATCTCCTTTCCCGTATCTAAGCACATGAAGCCAGACCTTCTTCTACACATCTCAACTGTCTTCCTTACAGATGCTACTATTTCTCCAAACTTAACAATTTAAAGAAGTTATTCAGTAGTCTCACACCTACAACATTGACAGCATACCTTACTTGCTGCCTGTGTGTGTGTGTACTTAATTTATGTAGCACTATAGTAGTAGTTCTATTCTGGCATTCTGTTTTTCATTACCTCTGTGCTTATACTCCTCCAGAATTACTGCCACCTTCATAGCAAAGTTTTGTGGTAGATACATCCTGAAAGTTTAGTCTCACTTATTTTTTATATCAACTTAATAACATGTTCTCTAGATACATTGCACCTATACTTGACTTCACTAGGTAGGATTTATAAACTGTTAAATGTACAAGGTATTAGACTAAGCATATCTTGTCCTAATGTTAAATTTCATATGTAAAGGAAAGTGGAATAATTTGGTGAAATTATAATATTAAAAGGGAACACATGATTTTTAGGTATCTATAGGCATACAAACTATTACTTCAGAGGATCTACTTTATTTGATTGATTGATTGAGACAGAGTCTTGCTTTGTCCCAGGCTATAGTACAGTAGTGTCATGATAGCTCATTGCAATCTCAAACTCCTGGGCTCAGTCAATCCTCCTGCTTGACTGTAGCTGTGACTACAAGTGTGCGCCACCATGCCTGGCTAATTTTTTCTGTTTTTTTTGTAGAGATGAGGTCTTACTACATTGCTCAGGCTGGTCACAAACTCCTGGGCTCAAGTAGTCCTCCTGCCTGGGCCTCCCAGAGTGCTGGGATTACAGCCATGAGCCACTGAGCCCTGCCCAGAGGAGCTACTTTAGCAGCAACTTGGGAGTCATTAGTTCCAGTTACTGTACTTAAGTAATATGCATTTCTTTAATAACACTCTTTGGTTTATCTGAAGTCCCCTTTTAGTTCAAAAGCAAGGTTTACTGTGTTTTCATTGGTGGTTATAAGAACATTCTTAAACAATGAGTATTGTTTATAATGGTAAAAAGTATGTAAGGTGCAGAATTTGCTCTTTCACTTTGTCAGTGACTCTTGTTATTTGTGATCAAATAGTAATGATAACAAACCTTTCAATCCTTTTGAGATTGTTTTTCCAAACTGGAACTATTTATTCTTTTTTTTTTTCTTTTTTTCTCTCTTTCTCTCTCATCTACTTACTTACTCTGGAACTATTTATTCTGAACTGTCCACTCTATCACCTCCCATTTCGTTTTTAACAAACTAGAACCATACTGTCTCCATCATAAGAGAATAAATGTTTGGTTCTTGCTTCCAACTCCTGTTTGCCCTTTTTTGGCGGGGCGAGAGATAGGGTCTCACTCTGTTGTTCCAGGCTAGAGTACAGTGGCATCATCCTAGTTCACTGCAACCTCAAACTCGTGGGTTCAAGTGATCCTTCTGCCTCAGCTGCCTGAGTAGCTGGGACTACATGTGCATGCACCATGCCCATGTAATTTTAAATTTTCTGTAGAGACAGAGTCTCTCTATGTTGCTCAGGTTGGTCTCGAACTCCTGGCCTCAAGCAATCCTCCGACCTCAGCCTCCTGAAGTTGCTAGGATTACAGGCTTGAGCCACTGCGCCTGGCCTCTTGTGTGTCTTTTAATATACTATTGAAAATACTTTTGTGTGTGCACAGAAAGGATTAGGTATATTTTAATATGTTTATGCTAAGATAGTTGTGATAAATGTTTAGGAGTGATCACAGCATTGTGCGTTCTGAGGTGAATAAGTGAAGAGAACATCACTAAAGCATCCAGTCCTACAAACATGTCTTTTTGCTAACAATAATTTTTCTGACTGCTGTATTGCAGCTGTTGAAAATGCACAGATAGATGTGTTAAGGCTGCTGCTTCGACACGGAGCAAATGTTAATGGATCCCATTCTATGTGTGGCTGGAACTCCTTGCACCAGGCTGCTTTTCAGGTAACCTCTGAATTTATTATTCATTTCCATGTAAATTGTGTGTTTTACCCTTTTAAAATGACAGTTCTATACAGTTTTTGCTTCCTACTTGCCTGTGATTTATGATGGTTAGTGCAGTACAGAAAAGGCAGTCTAAATGCTAATGATCATTCTGAGTAAGCCAACTGCTGTAGTAGTTATAGCAGCTTTGGGCTATAGGGATTATCTAAATTTTTCAAATGTTCATAGCATAGTTAAGAAGCCATCAGAATATTTGGGATATGAGTTGATAAAGAGCAATGGCTTATTTTATTTATAAAAGTGTGTTTGGAACTTCTGGTAGTTCCTTAGTGCTTGGATTAACAAACTAACTTTGCAGGATTTTATAAGGAT